TTGTGCTAATTTTGATATGTTGCACTATTAAAGATCAGTTTATTTGGTTAATGAGTAATGAAAACAAGGATATCTTGTACGAAATGTGTGCTTTCATAAAACATAATGAAAAATACTCATAATTAATACCATTGTTTGTGTTTTCTGTGTAATTTTGTGTATTTTTTCTCAGAGCATTGGGACAAGTTGTGCTAGAGGCTGCATCCAAATCCAAATAATTTTTGCACAAAAATTTTACATAACATGTTACTATGTCCTTTAAGCACCTGCCCTTGGTGACTCCTGCATTTCGATAACTGCACAATAATCTTGTCCATGTGCACTAGCCACTAGGAGGACTATATAATAACCCTTTTTGAGTATTAGTTTATGCTTGTGTTGTAAAAGTGTTTAATTTATTCATATTTGTGTGTATTTGCTTGAGTGTCCTTTTAGCATCTTGGTGACTCCCTGAATATGGACAACAATACCATTTGTTCATATGCATCAGCCACGAAGAAGGACTTAACTCATAAAAGCTATTTTTATAATGGATGTGATGCTGCTTCTGGTGCATGGTAAATAAACACAAAACATTATGGTTTATATGGTTATATATAAATAAATAACACATAGCTGAGAGGGTGATAGTGTAGATTGTTACCCCGAGAAAACATTGTCAACCGCGGCGAAGCCAAGGTTGACAATGCTTTTTCGAGGGGTACCAATCTGCTCTATCACCCTCTCAGCTATGTGTTATTATTTAATTTATTATACTGAAAGTCCTATCATTATTGTCTTTTACAGATGCATTTTATTTAAAAGTATTTTCTATGACGTCACGTACATAACAACGTTACGGGTATTAGAAAAATCAACAGAAGTGAAACAAGATGTTTTATTTTTTTATTTTGACAGTCAAATAATAGAATCTGTAACGTAGATCTTAAGCATTGTCTTTAATAACTTGATGTAAATTCAATTCATTGTCCTTTGAACTATCGATATTTGATTGGTCTGGACGAGAGGGTGACATTCAAAAAAATGTCACCCGCTCAGCCATGTGATAGAGTAAATTAACACCTTCGTATTAGCCAATCAAAATATGGCATTTTAACGTGAAGTATAATAAAGTAAATTGTCTCCCTCGTATTAACCAATCAAAATCTGGCATTTTGACATGAAGTATAATAAATATATATTATTAACTCAATTTATATTTCATGTTTGAGTTGTTTTTCTTGTGAATTGTCTATATTGCAATTGTTTGATTTAAAAATAATCACTGTACTGATTATGCCCATAATGGGTCCTCTATTGGAAATAAAAATTTACCTTTATCTATCTTTATAGTACGATTGAATGTACAATAAATCTTTTGAAGTATTATTAAAGTAACTTATATGGTGAATGAATTACCGTTTTTTGTGTAGCATATAGCAAGCATTGTTTCGTGTTTATATATATATATATATATATATATATATATATATATAAGGTACCAAATAAAAATATAAATTATTGTACCCATATATATCTCAGGCATTCAAAACCAAAACCGGTTTAGGTTTTTCTGTGTTTTTTTGGGATATCCTGAAATACCTAGCACATTCTGAGCCAAAGTAATGAAACATGGCCTTTAGTTAGTATAATGTGTATATACTTATTTCTTTTTTTGTTTATCTATTCATTTATCATTCTATTCATTTATTTATTTATTTGTTTAAGAGACAAGTGCCATAAAACAAGAACTGCTTTTTCCATTATTAAAGTGTCATATTTCTGCTTCAAACCATGCAACCAAAACGATATTATTTATGCAAATTAACATTGTTAACGAGCAAATAATTGTATGGTTGCACATGATTCATTTAATTATAAACTTTAATTGACAATAATGATTTTGATAAATAGTACTAACCCGATACTTTGGCAGTATTATATATCTTCCCGGCAGTCCGGACTGTTTCCATCATTATATGACAATCAAGCGCCCAAATGATTCTGATGTTGCGTGACAAAAACGCTTCGCTTTAATTTGTAATTACAATTTAGGGTTAAACTTGTAAAGGTTTATTATTATTGGCGCGTGCATCAATTTATTACCCATAATCGCATAAAATAAATAAATCTATTATATGTAATTATTGTAAAATATCAGGCAAATATCAACAAACAAGTAGACCTTAATCGCATGTCGGAAGAAATTAATTTCCTATGTAAAGAGAACTGTTTAATTCTATTTAATGTGTTAAATGAAGATTGAATCAATAGATATAATAATTGTTGTAATTATCCGTAATAATCTTCATCAATATTTTACTAAATAATTGGCCCCCGCGGTTTACAAGGATATTCGTGTATAAATGAACCAGAGTTGCTTCTAGGGTGTATTTTCAGATTTAAATCTACGTAATGAAATACCATTAAATGAGCAGTAAAAGTTGAATTAATATTGATTTTAAGGCCGTGTATTTTTTTCGCCATCCTAAGCGCTAGCATTTTATGGAAATTACGGCACACTTTGTTTGATATTATCCCCTCGCCTATCGCCTCGGGTAATTAAAATCTAAGGTATCATTATTATGATCAATGTTTTGGTAATCACATTAGAAGCTAGTTATAAGATAAAATCTAATGGACAATGATAGGATATTTTTCTCAATTATTTTGATAGTTTGGATTGCACGGTAAAGTGACAACTATGATTATTGCTGTATAAACAGTTCTTTATGAATGTGTTACATTAATTGGCTTATTTTACACAATTGTTGTCAACTTCATGATGATATCAAAAAGTAAATTACTGTTCAGATTTTATTAAAAGAATAAATGAATGTCGATATTTAATTTTTGTTATAGAAATATATAAATTATAGATAAGATTTCCGAGAAGGTCAGAGCTCATGATAACGAAATTTGCATCCTAGAATTTGAAACTAAATTCATAACTTTATGGGTTTTCGTTTACATTTCATAGATTTTATGATTATTGTTTATGATCCCACCCTCATTTTACAGATGATGTGGCTCGGCGCCTGTTACTCTTGTAAGTGACTTGGCCGTCCTTTGCGATGACACCTATGATACAGAGCGTAATGAGCAATTAGTGATATACTATACCGAGAGTAATTGATCATGATAACGAAATTTGCATCCTAGAAGTTGAAACTAAATTCATAATTTTATGGGTTTTCTTTTACATTTCATAGATTTTATGATTATTGTTATGCATTCAAAAATAAAATTAAAAATAAAGTCACAAACATCTGAGATCTTTGAACATTATTTAAAATCAGAATTCGAGTTATTTGAAATGAGTTTTGTGAAAGTTGTTTTAACAAACATTTTAGTAAATATGACTAAAAGGACATGTCGTATAAAAGGACGTCGTATAAAAGGAAATGTCGTATATGCGTCAATTAGAAAGCACTCCAAAGACTCAAACAAACAAAAAAGGGAAATCTAGGAGGTCAACATAGGGTCTACTTGTCAACTTCATTTTTTTCCGAAACCATAAAAAAAAACAACATAGAAATGAGGGTTTAATGATTTGAATAAACTAAAATATAATGCAAAGATTTGATTTACCCATATAAACTAAAATATAATGCAAAGATTTGATTTACCCATATAAACTAAAATATAATGCAAAGATTTGATTTACCCATATAAACTAAAATATAATGCAAAGATTTGATTTACCCATATAATTTAAGTTTGTATTTACTTTAATTGGAATCGAATAATCAGAAAACTACCAAAAGGCACTTCAGATATTCATATTATTACAAAAATCATATATTTGTATATCTTAAATATATTTTTCTTAACAATTTCTATAAAATCTTAGAACCTTTTTTCAATTTTAAAAACAAACAGAAAATAATAAGGTATATATCAAAGATTTTATTGTAACTTGTACACTCTTCCGTCTGCAATTTAGTATATTGTAAATCTTCAAAGTCATTAATATCAATAAAATGCGTGCTTAAGAATAAATATATAACATTATTCTTTTCCTGTATTGAAAAAGACAAATTATCGCGATGCACAATCTTGAAAAAAAATATCTTTTTGATATGTAAAGTATATATTTCACTGATAATCATTTCCATTTTTCATCAGGAGTATGAACCATTCTCAAATCAAAATCTATCATTTTCGCACTCAATTAATTAAATTATGTATATATCAATTTGGAATGATTTATTTAAACCGAAATGTCTTTTGAAATTGACAGAAAGTGTAGAAATTTGATTCAAGAATTAAAGAACATATGTTGAAATTAACTATACTTTTAAATATAAATAAAATTAGAAATTTAAACACAACTATAATATATCTTCTATTAATACGAATTTAATTGAAGTTTTGAAATTCGATGTGAACTTAAAGCTGGATTTAATTTAAAGATAACTATATCGTTGTCTATTTACTTAAAATTAAAACGACAGCACCAGAAGGTGTTAGAAAGCCGGCAATTTTTTTTTTTATTGACGGGTTTTACTTGATGTTGATTTTTGATATTATGATCCCACCCTCATTTTACAGATGATGTGGCTCGGCGCCTGTTACTCTTGTAAGTGACTTGGCCGTCCTTTGCGATGACACCAATGATACAGAGCGTAATGAGCAATTAGTGATATACTATACCGAGAGTAATTGATCATTTCTAATAGGGGCAAATAACAAGAGTGACTTTTAGATCATCTAAATTAATCTACCTTTAAATAAAGTGGATTCAAAAGTGTGATAATAATATACTTAGTTTCATAACCCGAGGAGGTAGCTGATATTCCTTTTGTCAATACGAATGACAAGGCCTTTGATCAAATTTGCTTTGAATATCACCCACCGAAGTGTTTCAAATTATCTTCTGTTTGCTAACACACACCATCTCGGCATACTTGAATGGTTTTCAACAGTTTCCAATGAAAAGACGGTAATTTATACGCCATTACACACCAATTTGTAATCTCACCAATGGTGACTTTCTGATTGGCTGACGTCACTTCCGAACAGTGTATATGGATCATAAAACTTTCAAAGTGATTCTGAATGGATACAGTAGTTGGAAAGACGACAGAAAGAGTGTTTAAAACTTTTTCATACTGTATTCTTGATATTTATTAGTGAAATTATTTAATATTAACAATAGCATTTCTGATGAACAAATATGCAGCCGGTTCCGTTTTCTTCTAGTGACAATTCTGCTTTCAGTAAGCTACCGTCATCAACCTCATCAAAATCATCCGAAAACACAGAACCATCAAATAGTGAAAATATGTCGGAAAAAACTCAAGAAAACCAAAGTGCTAAAATATCACCATCCTCTGGACAGAAACAAGTTTTAAAATTCAGTGTGGATTCAATAATGTCTGAAAAGGGACCCGTCAATGACAGAGAAAACACAGAATCCCCTAATTCTGTGAGTTCTGAAGACAGTTTACAGGAGCAACCAAGGATTCCTACAGCCACAATGGGACCTTTCAGTATGGATGACATTTTAAATAAACAAACAATATGTAGAAATGGTAATGTTCCACTTCCTGGAGAAAGTCGGTGGCAAAACTATTACAATACCTCCTCATTCCCATGGTTATCAACGACAGGGCTGTCTCCCCCAAAAGGTAAATTATTAAATGTAGCAAATAAAATTCCTTCAAAATTTAAATAATAATAATATTTTTGGATTTATTTTTTTACATTGATCACAAATAACTATTGGCCTATTGTGGAGATTTGTCTCATAGGCAATCATACCACATCTTATTTTTATATGATCTCGTAAATTGAGTTTAGAAACTTAATTAGTAAAAATCTGTGTAAAGTGTTGGTTATTTGTATATTATTCTATCTGAAGGAGAGGCGATTAGGTTCAAACTGAAGATGAAAATCACGAATAAATAGCAATTTGTATTTCTTTTAAACTGGTAAAAACATTCATTTTCAAAAAGCAATTAAATATAAATATATGTTCGAATTTTGTGCAAAAATAACTTGATTTTAAAATTTTGTATACATGAATAAAGAAATTAACTTCTATATATTTTTTTTTTGTATTTTTAAGTTGAAATCATTTTATTTTCAAGTTACAAAAATTCCAATAATCATCATACACTTAGCTGAACATACAAGTTAAAAGGTAATAATTTAAAATGACGAAAAGAAAAAAGACTTTATAAGAAATAGAAATATTTCAGTTGATAAAATGTTGCATATTTAAATATCCTACAAAAATACTGTTATTCATATTTTAATGTATTTTTTTTTCAAATATCTAAGGTTGAATAGAAATAACATTAATATTAATTTTCCACGTACATATTTAAAATGTGCATATTAATAAAATTAACATCTCTTTAACATGTGACATTACATTGAAATTAAGTATCATTAACATTATAACAAATGGATGTGATCATTTGTAGTTCTTTTCAAGTTTACAGTGAAGACAAATAGATCTGATTGATAGAACATTAATTTTAATTCTAATCGATGATTCAATTAATGATTTTAATAAATAAAACTACTGTAGGGTAATGTAAAGTGATTACCGATGATAATGGCCCGACAATAGATACATTTGTATTTTAGATGAGATAAAATTACACCCAAAGCTATTTTTTAATGTTTTCATTAATATTCGCACCTGTCTCGTTACTTTGTAGTTTATACCTTTGTTGTCATACCTGTAAAAAAATATGCCCAAAAACTTAAAAATTGTGCATAATTTTATAGGATCATCAAAGTACAAAATGATATCTTCTGTAATGATTTTATCACTCGTATTATGTATAAAACCGTCAGAGTTCTTTTGTGTATTAACTTTAAAGCATTTTTAGTATATGCAATTGATGTTATATTTATGTGTCCGTGTATTACTTTATTTTTATTGAAGTTGCGTGTTTTGAACAAATGTGTTTTAAATATCATTTAAACAAATGAAAAATATTAGAATTAAAAGATATACATACTAAATATTTATAATCGTTTAATTTTGAGAAAAGTAGAATATTAATGTTAGAATATAGCTATATATAGAGAGAGAGATGGCGTATGCTTGTCAATGAGACAACTCTCTACCAGAGTCCAAATTACGTGTAAGCAAGCAACTATATGTAACCATATAGTCTTCGGCAATATTTAATAGCAATTCTCAGAATAAATAATTCCAAGGTTTTTCTTAAATATGTTTAATTAAAAAACAAGAAACTGATGCTATTATAACTTCGTCAAATAAATGTGTCTTGTTTTTGTGTTTTCTTTATTGTATTTTTCTTGTCACATTTTCACGTAAAAATATGCATATAGCTATTAATACGATAACCTTGGAAAAAAACCGAGATATTGTGCACTTTTGATATTTCTGTTTGTATCTGTTAGACCATAAAATAACGTTATGGAACAAGCCATTATATTTTCGCTTGAATTTGCTAATATCCTCATCAATTTTAAAAACTGTAAATCTTTCTAAATTACATGGGTTAATATGCGTAATCATGTGTATTTCAATTTCATGCATGAAAAATATATAGAAAAGAAATATAAATTTATTTTTCATAATAAATTCTGTAGGCAAATGTGAATGCACCCTGCGAATTTGTTTTTATCTAATAGATAAATCTTTAAATGAATTTGAATGAATTGAGCTGTTTGAAAATATTTAATGCTAAGACATAATTCAAATAAATTGGAATAGAATTGAGCTGTTTAATAACTTAATGTTTGTCTATATTGTTAAATTGAAAAGAAATTGCAGCATGGACTTATTTTGAAAAAAGATTTCTCAAAAGCCCATACTGATTTACGATTTTATAAAGTTACGGTAGATATATCATACATTTTTTTTTACAATTCCCATTATTTGGAAAAATTATAACTATTGGAAAAAATACTTCACACACAATTAACCGAAGCGAGTGCGAATTCAAGATAATCTGGAAGAATTGTAAATTACGGTCGGAGTCGAATCAAAGTTTCTCCAGAATACTGGGACTGTTCATAATTATTTACAATTTTCCCCCTATTAAAATCAATGGCAGCATAGACTTTTCATACTTTCAGATCCATAATGGGTTTTCGTTCCCTCGAAATATTGTTGGCTTGCTGAACATATTGTAAAATGGACTCTATATTTCATCCATGATTTTGGTTTGATTTGTGAACGTCTGTCGATCATAAAGTTTTTGGAGGGAAATACATATCAAATAATAATTCATTTATAATTTGCTAACTACTACAATAAAGATAAAGGAACAAATTCAAGAAAAGTTATGAAACCTGAACATCATAAACTATCGTGTCATATTAACGATACACATTAATGTTGTCATTCAAATGAACATCTCGTAAATCACGCGGTCAAAATAGCTGCCAATTAATTGAATTAAGATAAAATGTTCAATAGTTGGGAGATAATTAGAAGTGTTAAGTCTGTTAATAACCTTCCACGATGTCAATCAGTATAGCACGGTGTCGTTCAATTCATTGTATCAATTCCTTATCAATGATACCTTTCAACAGCCCTCTTCAATTATTGCTACCGATAATTAATTTTAATAAATTTAGGTTTACTTGTTGACTAAATGGTGAGATAATGTGTGTCTAATTAAATGTTCTGTATATTATGCTACAGTATCGCAGAACAATCAGCTAGAGGTAAAACAGATGACCCCCGCGAATTAACAGATATTCGCAGGCAGGCGCTTTATCAATATTGCTGATTTGCATTCGTGATATGGTTAATAATACAATTATCTAATTTGAGATAAGAGTTAATGTGTGTTAATGTTGTTTTTCTTTATTGTAGGACCTCCTAGTCCTGGAAGGATAAACCCACAGAAATGTACGTTACGGAAGCATAAAACAAACAGAAAACCTAGAACCCCTTTCACAACGTCTCAACTGCTAGCATTAGAGAGGAAATTTCGCCAAAAACAATATCTTTCTATAGCTGAACGTGCTGAGTTTTCAGCTTCTTTGAACTTAACTGAAACCCAAGTTAAAATTTGGTTTCAGAATCGAAGAGCAAAAGCAAAAAGACTTCATGAAGCAGAATTAGAAAAACTTAAAATGGCATCCAAACCGATGCTCCCTCCTGCAATAGGGGTAACTTTCCCCGCCGCAGCAGCTTTTTATGGAAACCATTTTGGACGACCACAAAATTTCCCACATTCATTCATGTCTCCTTTTAGTTATGGAAGTGTCAGCATGGTATATCATCATTAGATTTGATTAAGAACTTATGTGACCAAAGACTGGACCATTGTTCCATGTTACATTACGGGTGATCGAAAAGTACGTTTCGTGCTATTACATGTGCTCCTGTGTGTCCGTCTCTCGGTGCTAGACAGATGGTGACCAACACTTAGCATAAACAACTATTTACTGAGTCAGTCTGGATGTGTAGATTACGTATATGTGCTTCAGCAGAGATTAAAACTGCAGTAAACATTATGAAAAAAAACTTGCCAAAATATTTTGTTTTTGTTGACGTAAGGTAACGGATATTTTTTTGGTTATTCGTTTTGTATATATCAAATAATATTTATAATGATCACGTGGTTATTCCCGTTGTTGTAAAATACATTTATTTGCAATTAAATATATGATTTACACCTTCAAACGTTGTTTATAATTTTTATTATATTTAAGATGAATAAAAGTCGTTCATACTGCTTATCATTTTCAAATTATGAGATGTGTTAAATGATTTGTGAAAGGTATCCAATAAAAATACATTTTATAGACGCAATATATATGTATTGAAAATTGATATTTATTACCGTTAATGAAGTTGTCGAGCAACGGTGACATTCTTAAAGCAGGTGGCAGTAAAAATGGGATTTGTCGTAGAACTTCTACAATAATTTTTTTTTAAATATGGATCGTTTCCTTTACCTTTTACAATTGGAATAGCAATAACAAGCAATGAACGACTCAAAATGAAATTACTACTGTGCATATTTAAAAAAAAATGCATATATTTCAGATTACAACTTTGATTTTTTTTTAATAAACATGCATGTGAAGGAAATATTTTTTATTTTTTAAAAAATCTGAAATTTTGCAAAATATTTGACAAATTATTATTCGTATGTATTAACATGTGATAACTGAAATTTTGGGAAGTTTCAAAAAGTAATTTTTAGCTTCTAGCTCATAGTAATATAGAATTAATATTGTAAAATGAGTTCGCTCATAAGAATAAATGGAATATGGAATTTCTATTTAATTAAATCCATAATATCTGGTGTGACCTCCCTTCTTTAAATTTGAAATGCTTATGTTTAGTATTTTATTCTGTACAAGAAGAAAATATCAAAACAAAGAGTTGTCTCTGTCTTGGTCATTTAAAATGTTAATGCTGATCTTGATCATTCAAAAGAACAAAGTAAGTAAGTAAGTATTTATTTTTATTATATATAGTGACTTGTGAACATATATCAATAAATATAACACAATTACAAATGTATATTGTCAATGTTGCAAAGAAAAACAAAAGGTTGTTGATTAAAGAAAAGAACAAAATTTAATTAAATAGTAAAACTTTAATAATATAAAGCATAAGGTAAAGGTGCGGAAATTGACACAAACCAAAAAGGGTAAATACATTTCAACTTTTGTCAAACTGTATAGTTTAAACCTTGCTCTATAAAAAATACAATAAATAAATATCCATATTATTCTAAAAAAAATTACTAAACATTTTTATACTGATATTTTGTGATATATGTCACATGAATTACTCTACATGCATACCGTAAACCATATCACAAAGAGCCACAATGTACAACAGAGTATATGATTTCAAAATAAGGAAGTAAATAAGTTAAGGAAGGATAAATGAGATGGCAAGGCAACATGATAATGAAATTCAACATATATTTTTCACGTTTTCATTGACAATATCGCATATGTAGCCTTTGCATTTGTGTTAACGGCGTTGTCAGTTTGTTTTCGATCTATGAGTTTGACTGTCCCTCTGGTATCTTTCGTCCCTCTTTTATCGTATTACAAAGAATGAAATTAAATTAATGAAAAAAAAAAGGAAAACAATGAGATTATAAATAAAAAAAATCACATAAAAAAAGTCAAAACAGTCTGCTGACAACTTAACCGTTGCTGAGTAGTCAATTTGCATACTAAACGTGCTGACGAAGCAGATTGATAAATAAATGTATTTAAATGCAGATGATACTACTGTAACATAGAGGAGTCTCAGAATACAGAAATGGAAAATATTCTATTGTATTATATGCTAGAATCTGTAAAAATCAATGTTAAATGTTATCAAAGTTAGCAAAGTAAATGGATTGTATGTCTAGCGTCTGAGATACCCCTGTTCCTAAGGTTTTCATTTGGAGTAAATATTACTGTGCACATTCCTTCTTTTGAATTGTCGAATTGGTATAAATATTATATTTCCAAAATATTTTTATGACTCTGCAATCAGAGTAAAATGGGCGGATTTTTATCGCCTTTTATCTGCAATGGCTTGTCATAGATAAAACCATCAGCCAAACAAGATTTTCACCTTTAATCATTTTGAACATGTTCTCAAGTCTGACTGTGGACAATAAAAATATTGAAGACCTCCCATCTCGCCCTTACTTTCACAGTTTAGCCAATGTTCCTGTCAAATTTGAATTTGTTCAGACGTAAAACACTGAATGATTCAAATTATCTCCCAAAGTGTAATTTTCTATGAGGTAACTGTATACCTCTCTTTAGCCAATACTACACAACTTTGATACAACCCAACTGATGTATAGTATTGATAAACACATTCACAAACGTCTAGATTATTAAGTTGAATTATAAAACTTGAGGCAGTCTTTAAAAAAAATTGTCTGTCTTCTGTATGTAGACAGGATGGTACCGACCTCGAGAATTTTTTCAACATTACACAAAAAAATGCTTCTTTTTATGTTTTTGTCTTTTTTAAAGTAAAATCTAATGCTTTTTGATAAAATAAGTCGACTCATGTAAAAGCTGAATCCATCGAAGTGTTGAGACTGGTTTCTGAATAAAAATAATAAACCCTTATCAGATTTTGAACGCTATACGCGCGTTTCGTCTACAAATACTCACCAGTGACACTCGAATTAAAAAAAATAAATGGTCAAATCAAGTACGAAGTTGAAGAGCATTGGAGTCCCAAAATTGCGAAAGGTTTGAAATTTACAAAATACTGCTAAGTTAATTCATTCTGCCAAATCCAGCTAAAGTTATCTCTTCCTGGGGTAAAAAATCCTTATTATTTCGAAAAATTTAAAAAGTTTTGTAAATGCAGTTGAGTTACATATATGACCATTTCAATGATAGTTCTTATCAGCATTTCTACATATCAATTATTAGGAGAAAAAATTAATGAAGTTTCAAAAAGAAATGTTCTCATTAGCTTTGGTGCGTTATGATTTATACGCGGAGATTATGATGTTTTCGTCAAAATATTTTCATGATTTTTCGGGTCCCTTGCTTTGAAGTTTTAAACCACCAAAGTTGAAAGGAAAGTCGGTGATGACGTGTAAGTGGGTAACCAATAGACTCCTGCAACCTTCCTGTATTTCATGATTGAATCATGTCCATTTGGTAACACCGGAACATTAATCAAAAGGTTCAAAACAATTTATTCTGGCTGAATGTGTGTCTATTTACTTTAACGTTATTTATTTATTAGGCTTGAAGTAATTACATCTTTATAACCGTTTCATCTTTGTATTATTTACAGAGATTTCTCAACTCAATAAAATACATATGTTTGTATAGAAAGGTAAACATGTTAATATAGAGTAATTATCTGTTCCAAGTGATAACAAATAGTTCTTTCAACGAGAGCTATCAAATAAAAACACGTTATTATCTAATTTGATAACTCTAATTTAAAATATTTACAGTAGAGATGTTAGAAGTGATATGATAATGTCAGAGGAAAGCGAGGTTCTTGACGAAACATGGATCCAGACACATTACAAATATAAATAAACAAATACAAACGATTACTGATACGGGTACTGTTTAATTGAGTGTTACAAACTGAAGAAGCAATATGTTTACAAATATTGTGATAAAAAAGACCAGTTTCCTTATATGCTTTGCTGTTCTAAAATTTCTTTTTTTTTATACATATTTGTATTTTTTTTTTTCATTTAGAAAGAAATCATTATAATGGATTTTAAGACTTCATTGATCTTAAGAACAGATATGAATAAAAACTTATTTGGGGTTTACCTTTCAATGAGACATCACTAATAAAACAAGCCAAAACAAAAACAAGCCAAAACAAAAACAAAATAGTAGTTTACAAATGTTCCAAACTCGGAAATTAATATAGAATAAACAAACAGAGATTAAAAAACCGAGGGAATCGCATGAAAACCAGCGAGGCATTGTAAGTATTGAGCGAGACATTGTAAGTATTGAGCGAGACATTGTAAGTATGTCGTGCTATGTATGCGTCACTCTCAATGCGAATTTAGAACCAGTAAGAATGTTAAGACAGGGAATAGGACACGATAGGTCAAATGTCAATTCAGACGACTTTCCCCAAGTCTTCAGATAAAAAAAAAAAACAACGAAAACATGTCTCTTTCGAGTTGAGACACAGACACATCGTTTCAGTCAACCAATTCCCGATGTTAACCGTAAAACTGGTTTAGTGACGTTTCAAGGCGGGTTTATGTGTATAATTAAATGAATAAAAAAGTTTCAGCTCGTAAAGGTGTTTAAGTGAATTTTTAGTATTTGTTGAAAATCTCAAAACCATAATATTCTCGTGTTTTGTAGTTTATGTTGATAGCACCAAAGTCTATTTTTTTTTTGCATTCTCAGGATAATCTTTCGATCCTATACTAACTTTGAATATATGATGCCTAACATCGTTTTTGTCAGCGTTGCAATGAAGTTGAAATCGAAGTCCGAGCGTTCGGGCGTCTAGACGTCAACATTTCGTTTTCCGGTCAAAATCTGTTGAACTTTAAAACTTTTGTTTACTAATAGGATGAGGAAGAACACTATTAGTGTTGGGTGAATAATTCAAAGACTTAACCATTACAACAATTAAAAGAATTTTGGACAAAACGTTTGGTTTCTGGATGTTTTCTATGTAGTGTTTTGTAGACTGATGTTTGTCGTGACGTCATTTGTTGCTATGGTTTTTTGCTATGGTATTTTCGGTTGTTCGGGTTGTAATTTTTATTGTTCATTTGGTGTCTTTTGCATCTAATTTATTTTTCGAACCAAATGTCTAACTTTTACCGAACTTATTGTAATAATGCACCATGGGTTTCAGGAAGAATCCTATTGGTTTTAGGGTCAATAATCAAAAGTCAGCTGTTGATAGATCAAAATTTGGCAAAATATTGTTTCCTGATGGTATCTTTGAATCATACATGAACTGTTGGTTTGGGAATGCTCCAAGATTGGTAATGCTCTATGTGATAAAGACGTTCTTTATAGCCAAATCCGGACAAGGAACCAGAGCATTGATTTAGGGAGATATATTCCTTAATTCAAACTGATTTACATAATTTTATTACAGCAAATTTCAATCAGATAATATCCATATTTTCATGTCAGTTCTGGCTACATGGCTGAAGATACACTCGGGGACTAACAGTCCAC